CATATCTATATTTATAAATATATATATATATATATATTTATATATAATTTTATACATGCAATATTAATATCTAATCGAAGATCATTAAAATGTGATTAATTTGATGTAGCTAGCATATATAATAACAAATAATAAATTACTAAAAGGATATTTGGATACAAATAAACACATACTTAAATACTCAATCCATACTCAAAATCTAATTCAACTTTATCCAAAACCTCACTATCCTCAGTATTATCAATATATTTAGATAATATCAATCAATCATCCTTACACGTCATATTAACTTTAAGTCACTATTCATACACACACATAATTTTAACGACATACCACTTCCGATTATTTTTCTTCTAATTTTACATCAAATCAATTTCAATCATTTTATTTTAAATATTCTTCAAACCAACTTTTTCAAGATGAATCATGATTACAAAAAAAACTAGTAAAAAATTGCTTTATTTGTATCCAAACACGCCCTAAGTTTTTTAAAATATATTTATCACTTAAGTTGAACATTTTTTTTTTTTTATAATTTTTAAAAGTCATAATAAAAATGGATAAAAGTCCAAATCCCTATTGACTATCCATAAGACCATAATTTCATACAGTATTATAAATCAGATACAAAAAGATTACGAAGCCCCAAAAATTAACTCATAGTATTACGAATCACAAAATATCTATATACATACAATTATATATAAAGGATTTGTATTGATATGTGATATAACGAGCTAAGAGCATCTCCAATGTTATAAGTGTGAAAGACCATTATTTTTAACACATATCTATTAGCGATTGTAATGTTAATCCACATTGGAATAATGTTAAAAGAAATTTTAATGAAACCAGTATCTCCAATGCATCAATTTGATAAGAAGTTATTTGTATAGGTGGACCAATTAAATAATTCAATGATACAAAAAAAAAAAAAAATTAAAACAAATATAAAGTAAATTGATGAGTCATCATGTTTAACATGGTGTTAGATATTAGAAAGTGTGCTCAACATTGTCGACATTAAATGACATCTACCCCATCATGAAATAGTTCATGACAAGATGCATTGGAGAAAAAAATAGAAACACACTTTCAAAAGTTGATGATATGGATGACTTTTTATAATGTCAAAAGTTACATTGGAGATGCTCTAAGTATCCTGAAGATTAGATTGATTAGTGAATTATTTAAAAGGAAAACTTAACAACTACTCAATTAGCTCAATAGGAGAAACAGAATTATTGGCCCACTAGCTTTTGGGCTTAAAACAATTACTCCATTAACTAGAGTTTTAGTTGGCTAAGAGCATGCTTGGATACAAAATTTTTTAAAAAAATCTAAATATTTTTAATTCAATCTTAACTCAACCCCACTATCATCAATATTATCAATCAATCATTCTTACACACCACCTTACCTTAATTCACTATTCATTCACTCACATAATTTTAACTAACCATTACTTCAAATCTTCTCTCTCCTACTTTACATCAAATCAACTTTAATCATTTCATTTTAAATATTATTCTAATATACCCACTAACAACTAACCATACTAACTTTTTCAAAATTAACTAAACCAAACAAAAAATCCAAATAAAACCATATTTTTTTTATATCCAATTAATCATCCTCTAAGTAATTGAGGAAATGACTCCACTTACCATTATTATTTATGTTTTTTTCACAAATATTCTTTTAACTTTTTCTTTCCCAACAGACGAAATTGAGAGGCAACCGTACGTACCACTACCGAAGGGAAGTTAGCAAATTGTTGAAATAAATAATTATTTATAGAGAAAAAGTCTCAACTGAAATATATTAAACATTTACTCAAATCGAGTAAATAGTTAATCGGACATGAAAGTTGGTTTTTTAAATCCAAAAGTCCACTCCTGTTGGAGATTAAAACAGAGCATTGCACATGTTAACCATAAAAGAAAAATAAGCATAATCTTAAATGTAATTAACTTATTAAATCACCAAGTAATGGTACATGCTAACACAAATCAGTTTGCACAGTCAAATATATCCCATCAAGATGCTTGTTGTCATTCATAGGTAATTCATTATATTTCCAATGAAATAAAACGTGAATTCCTCATGTGTTAACTTATGATGCAGATTGAAGCGTACTATGGGAACAGATAAAAACTCAAGAGAACATTTTATTTTAATCGTTCAAAAGCTGCTCTCACAATGAGAGACTCCAAATATACTCTCCTAAACAAGAAATAATACTACTACTAATAATGATAATAATAGAAATAAAAATCCCTTATTAAATAAAAGCAGCAAATAAATAAATAGCAGTAGCAATAGGAAAACGTCTACGCCCGAAGCCAGTCATATTTCGCCAAATACGCCAAGGCGATCTCGTCGCCATCATTCTCCCCCGGTTCAGGAGGATTCGCCCTCGAATTCAAGGCGATCTCGTCATCCGAATTGTCACCAAGATAAGGGACAAGATGTTTGACATTAAACACGTCCGAAGTGCGAACATGCGACGGAAGGCGAAGACGGTAAGTGATGGGTCTACTTCTGGATCTGGAGTAAACCGGTGGTTGTGAGCTCAGATCTGCTTGAACCGTCTTTAAACCGTTGCTAGACCGCAAGAATACCTGCAAAAACTCAACGCCGGAGGTGTTTCCGGCGTAGAGCCTCCGACGCTCAAGTCAGTATGAGAGTGATGAAGAGGGGCTGCGCAGCAGCTATGGGGGAGAGTGAGAATGAAATGAGAGTTAGAGTTTAGGGTTACCTCATCTCCTTTATATAAGAGTGAATACTTACGTGAAGTACCCAAAATGCCCAAGTCGGTGGATCTAGAATGTCCAAAATGCCCCTGTCGATTCGTCTCCCCTTTGTTGCTGAGTCATCGCAAGATTCCTTCTTATCCTTGATAATGTGTGGAGCTTTGGATATGTTGCAAGTGTGGTGAATCGTCTTCACCACTTTGATCTTCGAGATGTACAGAGTCGACCTCGAGCACGAGGAGGTCGACCTACAAATATGTGCGGTTCCAGAGGCTACACCTGGTTTAACTCCTTGCGGTGGTCGTCTCTTAGAGAGTCGTCATGAGAAAGTCGACTAGCGGGAGTCGACTTAGAGTATCCGGATGGTTGGGAGTTGCATTCTTGATGTCCTTCTAGTATGAGGTCGACTAGCAAAAGTCGATAGTTAGAGGTCGACTTACAGGAGTCGACTGACTGATTTCTGTCCCTTGATTGTTTCCAGCAGAGTCGACTTCAAGGAAGTCGACTTGAGCATGTCGACGAGTTACCTCGATATGCGAGTCGTTCAAATGGCTCACCGGTTGAGTGGGAAGCCTCTTAGACCGGGTTATCTTTATATGACTATATCATCTAGTCCCCCCCGAAAATTACTCTAAACAGTCGACTGTTTAAGAGTAAATTTGGTACTCGACTTTTTTTATTAACTATACTCGTTCTCCGTTTCTCGACATCAAAAGCTCTACCTTTGTGGCTGTTCATTGCTGTAGGGGTTTCATCATTGTCTTCTAGGTCATTCTGACAACCTGACACCTTTTCAAATTTTGAATTTCAAATTCGTAATTATTACATCACTTTCAAGTCCGCCGCCTCGAATTCTGCGACTCATCTGAACGTTGATTCCAATTGAATCTAAGGGCTGGGATCCTCCTGAATCCCGTATAAATATTTCCTCCATCGGTCCCAAATCACTTTTCACTTTTCTCCAACTCCAAGCTTTCGAATCTCTCCGGCAATAAAGCACTTCCGAGCTTCATGGGCAATCCCTTTTCCGGCAATCGCAAGCTTCAAGACTTCTAGCGACAATCATGTGTAAGTATTACGATCTTTGTACTTTTTGCTACTCTTCCTTTTTTTTCCTTCAATTCTTTGCGATTTTCTGGGTTTCTCTGATATAGAGTGCCTCTGCGTGTTCTTCATTTTTTTTCATGAATTTCTTATGGGTTTCACACTTAGATCTCTTTACGCATATGCTCTGTTAGAATTTGTTGTTGTTTTTTTTTTTACCAGTAGTCGACTGTTGATATGCAATCGACTTTCTCCTGTTACTAAGTCGGCTCTTGTCGACTTAGTGGTCCTCTTTCTTCAATTCTCCTCTTCTCGAGTCGACTAAGGTCGACTCACTGGTTTATTTAAGTCGACATAGAGATAGTGATTGCCTCTTCTTTGTCCTTTTTTCCTCTGTCGATTATTGCGAATCGCTCTGATTCGATCTTGTAGGCCCTTACTCGTGATTTTACTAACCTCGACCTTCTCCTCCTTTTTCTTTCCTTAGCTTCCGACTCGTCTCCTCTTTCTGGCTCCCTTGGCCAGCAGATCAATGATTATACTTGTCCAACCGACGAGGGTTCTAGCTCTGATTGTGTCGAGATAACCGGTTATAAGATGGTTTCACCGCCTTCCCATTCTTCTCCTCCTCTCGCCACTGCTTCTTCTGTCGACTGGGCGCTGCACGACCAAGCGCTCTTGGAGGGCGGCTTAGTCGATATCCTGAAAAGCCCTCCTCGAGGAAATCTTCCTCGTCTCGATATCATTCCTCGAGGTATTCCTCTTAGGTTTTTAGATATCCCTGTATATAGAACGAGCCCTGTATCTGTACCAATAATTGCTCCCTTTCTCGACTTTCAAAATGTTGTATCGATAGCTTGTCCCTTGGTTAGGTTAGCTGTTCTAAATCCATTTTGTTATGCCTCTGCAGCCGAAGTCGAGGGCTTCAGAAAGTTCAGTGGGCTTCCCTCCGATTGGGAGTTAGTCGCCCCCGGTCCTAACGACGATTTCGCCCATCCTCCCCCCGGCTGTCATACGTTCTTCGTAGACCAAATCGTCTTGGGCCTTCGTTTTCCTATTCAAGACGAGCTCATACTAATAAGCAATCTGTACAATATACCCATAAATCAGTTTTCTCCTAACGCCATTCGCATTATGATAGCCTTCATAGTCGTTTCTCGTATAAAACTCAATTTCTTTTCTCCCGACTTTTTCTTTTATTGTTATGGTTATCGGCTTTCCAAAGGCGCCCACTGTTTGGGTCGTCGTGCTGGTGTTACCTTTCTCGACGATCTTTCGTCGAACGTCACCGAGTGGAAGTCGAAGTTTGTTTTCATTCGACCTGCTTCGGGCATGTACCCTTATGTGAATACTTGGATTACTTCAAAGGTGAAACAGAATAAAAGGCCTCGCTCTGACGAGTTTGCCCAACTGGTGTCCGAGCTGAATAAGCACACTTACAGTGCTCGTCAGTTAATCAAAGACCGTGATTTAGTCAATCACGCGCGAATCGTCATTTACGAGGATCTCCCTCGTCTCGATGATCCTCGTAAGTTTTTTACCTATTCTTGCTGGGTAGACTTCACGTTTTAGTTACTCATATTGTATTTACCAACTGTTTTGTCCGACAGCTAATTTCCCCTTGTTGCGTTTCAGTTAAGGCACTCAAACGCTTCGAGCTGAAGAAACAATCGGCTGAGAAGCCGGCGGGTGGTTCTGTTCCACCTCCTTCCCGACCCACTGGTGCGGCAGTCGAGCCGACTGCTGCGAAGAAATCCAGGGTCGAGAACCCTGGTGCCACCCTCAACAAACCCTCTGGCTCCAGCTCTCGCAAGAGGGCGCAAGATGACCGGGCCGTCGTCCTGATCCCGGACGACCTGAAACGTCGCAAAGTCGACAAGGGAAAAGGGAAGGCGGTCGAGAAGCCCGCCAAAGCCCCGGTCACCGTCCAAGACGTGACGGTCAAGATGCCGTCTCGCCTCTGGAACCACCCCGAGCCTTATCAGGTGGCGCAGTACCTCAACTCCACCATCCCCGAAGTCGACAAGGAGCGTGTCGAGGGGAACCTTTATGAGCGTTCGAATTACGCAGTCCTGTGCCTTTCTCGGGTATTCTCCCTATCTTCTAATCGACTTTTCTCCTGTATGTTTTCTTTTGAACTTGGTCCATCTAATCTCATTTCTTCCTTATGCTTTTTCGCAGTTTCTGGCCGCGGCGCTCCCATGCTTCGAGGAGACGAGCAAGGCTCCCCTCGCCTCCACCAAGTCCCTCGAGGACCAATGTGAGGCTCAGCGCCAGGAAATCGAGGCGCTGAAGAAGGATTTGGAGGCCTCGAGGGATCTTGTCGACAAGTTGAAGGCCGACAAGGCTGTGTTCCGACATTTAAATGATAAGCTCAAAGCCGACCTCGATAAGGCTCGGGACGAGGCCGTGGTCGAGAAGGAGAACGGCGTCGAGGTGGGGCGCATGACGTTTTTTAAGTCCCCAATGGGCGCCGTCTTCCTCGAAACCTACCGCCAGGAGCTCGTCAAGGCCTTCTGCAACTCTCCTGCCTTTCTCGACAAGCTCTGTCCCGCCACCCTTCAGTATTTCGAGCATACCTTTGCCGCGTGGGAGGCGGTGGTGGCGGGCTCTGAGTTCGAGGGGAAGCTCGACCGCGAGGCGGTTAAGGAGACGCTTCCCTTCCCCGAGGGCTGTTCAGGCGACGACTCCCTCCCAGACGATTACCCATGGTGGTCGGGACTCGAGGCTTGGGCCATCCGCAAGGCTGGCTTAAGCGCGCAACTCGAGGCTCCTCCCACCCCCTTGTCCGGTCCGACCGAACTAGTCGGGGCAAGTGGGGCTAGTCGGGAAGAGGCGGTCGAGGTCGAGGATGAGCAGCAGGGGATCGAGCCGCTTGTCGACAGGGACGCTGATGGGGAGAACCCCGAGAAGTCTGCTACTATAATGATGGAAGGTGGGGACGACACTGCCGAGAAGTCGGACG